CTATGCACAGTTTTGTGACTTACTGTAATTGCCATCCTCCCAATCAGCTTGTCATAGTCACAATAGCGTGGCTAATCTGTTTAACACCTAATAATTCATATTGTGCTCCACGCCCACAAAATCTGTGAACCTTTTGAGTCACCAAGTTAAAGCGTTCGTTCTCCAACCGCTTCAGGACGTCTAAGTTCCTCCATTTTCTGTATATGACTCTATCAGGGACTCGGGTATTTATAAATTGCCTTATTGGGTGTTCATAAAATTTGAAATCGAGAGAGAACACCATTGTTTTGCGTCAAATTAGATCGGTATGATTACAGATGAAGCGTTCAAGATCATTTGTGAGTGATTTTGAAAGCTTCAATTATATTTACTGTCAGTGAAATTGTCAATATAAGTCAGGGTAGAGCCTACTGTAAGAATGAGGTATCATTGACGTCGTCCCTAGAGATGCCAGGAGTTGCTACCTGATGCTGAAGTCACATTTTTTCATTTATGAACATCAGAGAGCCTGAAGCTCATAGTAAAATTGTTATAAGGACGTTAATTACGAAAGCAATTAGTTATCCTGAAGGGAAGTGTCACTAGTTTTATCTTTACCATCTAACGGGAGATAAGCTGATATTCCTTGTCCTAGGCCCTGCCCACACTGTATTGCCATTCTCAACCTTGAAATCAATTTAATTCTTGTCTGTGAAAGCTCAGTCAGGGTTCTGTTTAAAAAGTTGATCTTAGGAAACTAAAATAAGTTCGTTTTCTGATTTTCACACGTCAATGTGTAGAGTAACAAGAGTTTGTAGATATACGGCCAATTTTTTAAACATCCGGGGCAGCAAGCCCGAAGAGCAATCCCGAATGCTGGGTTACAGTTAAGTAACCCGTCAAATGGATTCGTCAAACTCGAATATCAATCCCGAACATCGGGGATATCGTTGTCGTTGCGGGTCGGGTCTGGTCGTGCTGGGTCTCTGTAACAAAGCGTGTTCGGCACTCGGGCCTTCGTTGTTGAGCGGCAGAAATTGGACAGTGATTACATAAGATCTTCAAGATCACCTTAGTCTTGTGAAAGTGTAAATCGATGTAGGATTTTTTATGCTAGACGCGATTGTATATTTGAAAACTCAATCTCCATCGAGATGGAGGTACAGCCCAGGTCAAGAGGCCTACAACCACGAAATCATTGCCATATGACAAAACTTTTATTATGTTTTTTTACGGAGTTGTGGTCACGGCTGTGATAAAGGCCAACCAGGGAGTGCAGTACTGTGCCTTTAGCTAAATCAGTTCATAGTGTCACCAGTGACTGCGAAAGAGGTTGTAAATAACTTAAAGTGAAGAACAAATTGGCAAGCAAGCTGGTAAGGCACCACTGCCAGCAGAAAGCAAGTCGTGTTATAGGTGGGCACGATCACCTCCATATCTCACTTTACTTAGACTTCAATTAGTAGATGTGATTATTAAGGAAGTCATCCCACTGAGGTGTATATATCTCTTGCTCAGATGAAGGTGTGTTTGCCAGGAGTTGGGGTGGGGGATATAATTGACAGGATGGACAATATCTTGTCTGGTAATGGACTAAGGGAGGGATCCCTATCATATGCTGTGTCCTGCCTAGAAGGAGAGTTGGCAGTGAATGGTTGTCAAGGGCAGTTGGTGTCAACGACCGTCTTGACAGATATTGCAAGTCAGTATCAGTCCCATTCATTGACAACTGGGACAACTTCTACGGCAGAAGGGATCTTTATGATAGGGATGGGGTGCACCTGTCTCGGGATGGGGTGGCAACTCTGGCGGGGTCTCCAGAGGGGGAAATTCAAAAGATATCGAAGTCTTTAAACTACTAGGGGAACATACGGGCACGGGGGTGGAGGGAACTGCAGTGGGAGCGGGTAAACAAAGTGAAAGATTACAGGGAAATAGTGTTCGGAATGATGACAAAACTAAATTAGACAGCGAGTTAAGACCTAAACGCAGTAAAGGGAGGACTCAGAACACAAGTAACCTAAATGTCTACTACGCGAACAGTAGAAGTATGAGAAACAAAATGGATGATAGTAGGGCCTTGGTATGTACCGAATACCAAATTACAGGTTACAAATTGTTCCATACCGACAGGCAGACCAGGAAAGGAGGCGGAGTACCAGTCTATGTCAGGGATAACCTGAAGTGTGAAATAAACAAGGAAATAAAAACTGAGCAGAATACAGAAACAATTTGGATAGAATTATTCGATTGTAGGGAAAAATTAATCACAGGAGTAATATATAGACCTCCCAATCTTGATAGAGTTAATGAGCGACTTATTAGGGATGAAATGTGCAGGGCTTCCATACACAACCAAGTCTGTATGGTAGGCGACTTTAACTTTGGCCAAATAGATTGGACTGACCTTACGGGTAACTCAGAATCAGAGGATTTTCTCGAAACGATCCAGGACTGTTTCCTAAGTCAACATATAACCGAACCCACCCGTGGTAATAATATACTCGATTTAGTTCTGTCGAACAGAGAAAACCTCATTAGCAATGTTGAGGTAGGGAACGAACTTGCAAACAGCGATCACAAAGAAATTATATTCCAGTTAGATTTTCAGGGCGGACGAACGGAAAATTCCACTAAAGTCCCAGATTTTAGAAGGGCAAACTTTGAGAGTTTGAAGAGGCAGTTGAGGGAAGGGGTATCATGCCTAGGGGTGACTCACACCGACCTCACCCCACCCGCGAACCTGATGGTTGACACCGACCTGATAACGAAATCTGAGATTGCCGAGTTCCACGACAATTTAAATATTGAGTTGCTTAATGCACAAAGGCAGAACATATCATACAAAAAACTTAGATCAGACAACAATGACCCTAAATGGATAAATAATTATTTAAAGAACATCATTGGTCAAAGGAAGGCTATAGGTAGAAGGATAAAGCGTGGCGAAATTTACCTCCGTGATTATTATAAGATATTGGCGAGTAGGGTTAAAACCGAGATAAGGAAAGCCAAGAGGAATAATGAGGTAAGGATAGCAAGGGAGGCGAAGACAAACCCCAAAGGATTCTACCAAATGTATCAAACTAAAACACGGGAAAAGATTGGACCAATACGGTCAGATACTGGCGAGCTCACTGATAACGATGGAGAAATGAGCAATAATTTGAATAAATATTTTTCAACAGTTTTCACCACTGAAAATTTAAACATGATACCCGAGGCACCAACTCTATTCAGAGATAGTGAAGAAAACAAATTAAGCGAGATAGTAGTGACTAGTAACGATGTTAGTAAGCAAATAGACAAACTAAAGCCTAATAAGTCACCTGGTCCCGATGAGATATTTGCCAGAGTATTAAAGGAATGCAAGGAAGAGCTTAGTATGCCCTTAGCAAAGTTGTTTAACATGTCCTTAAAAACAGGTGTAGTACCAGAATCCTGGAGGATAGCGAATGTAATACCCGATTTTCCAGAAAGAGGATAGATCACTATCCTCTAACTACCACTGATAGATCTAACATCAATAGTAGGCAAATTACTGGAAGCAATCATTTCAAACTCTATACGAAATCACCTGGAGAAGCACCGATTGATCAATGATTCCCAGCATGGCTTCACAAGTGGACGTTCTTGTCTAACTAATCTATTAACATTCTTTTCATCAGTTTTCGAATCGGTGGACGAGGGGCACAATTATGATGTGGTATATCTCGACTTTAGCAAAGCCTTCGACAGAGTCCCCACGAAAGACTAATTAGAAAGGTAGAAGCACATGGCATCAAAGGTAACATCCTTAAATGGATTAGGGCGTGGTTACAGGACAGGAAACAGCGAGTGAGCATTAACGGCACTAAGTCCCCATTGGAGCAACGTCACAAGTGGAGTTCCCCAAGGCTCAGTAGCGGACCATTATTATTATTATATGCATAAATGACATAGATATCGCTTAGACAACAACATAAGTAAATTTGCTGATGACACTAAAATAGGGCGATGTTAATAAATCGACGAGGACTCCATAAACTAGGAAGATCTAAAAGAAATTTTTCGAATGGTCTGAAAAATGGCAGATGAAATTCAACGTGGACAAATGTAAAGTACTCAGTATAGGAGATGTAAACAGGGAAACCAGATACCAGATGAACAACGATACCATAGAGAAATCCGACTGCAAGAGAGATTTAGGAGTAATGATAAGGAGGAACCTTAAGCCAAGTAAACAATGTGTTTTTGCTCATAACAAGGCTAATAAAGTACTTGGGTTCATACAAAGGAGTGTTAGTTACAAGACTAGCAAGGTCATCCTAAAACTGTATCTTGCTCTTGTGAGACCACACCTGGATTACGCAGTTCAGTTCTGGTCACCGTATTACAGAATGGATATAAAATCCTTGGAAAGAATTCAGAGGAGAATGACAAGACTAATCCCGGGCATTAGGAACCTTGAGTATAGAGATAGTTTAAAAAAAGCGTCTTAATTGCACTCCTTGAGAGGCACGTAGAAGCGAGGGGCGACCTGATAGAGGTGTATAAGAAGTGAAAGTCAGGGGCCTAAACAAAGGGGACATTACAAAAGATACTCTCAAACTATCCAACCAGGAGCAAACTCGTAACAATGGTTTTAAATTAGACAAATTTAGATTTAGGCGTGAAATAGGTAAACACTGGTTTGGAAACAGAGTAGTGGATGAATGGAACAAGTTACCAAATATATCATCATTAACTCGAATACGCTGAATAGCTTCAAACATAGGTTGGATGCTTATATGAGCAATAGGGGTTGGGTGTAAACGGGACTGCCCAGTATGGGCCAATAGGCCCGCTGCAGTTTCCTCCATTCTTATGTTCTCATGTTGAAGGGTTAACACTAATGTCTTATTTTTTCGTGTACAGATAATAGTTTTTCTAGTGGTGTAAGGGTGTTGCTGGGGGTTAATACAAGTGTCATACCATTACCTGTGCGTCTCTTTAACCCCAATCTCAGGAACACCAGCCCTGGTCACGGTAAATATTAAAAGTAAATTTACATTACTTTACTTATTTTCATCAGTATTACAATGTGCTTCACTAAAGATTATTTGAACAACTTGAGTTTAACATGAAACAATTTTGGCCAAATTTTAGTAAAATTTGCTCTTTTCCCAACATACCAATTAACTTATTTGTAGTTATGTTAATTCAACTGATAGATACTCTATGGTCCACAGACGGCCCATGAAGTACTCTATGGTCCACAGACGGCCCATGAAGAACTCTATGGTCCACAAACTGACCATGAAGTACTCAATGGTCCACAGACGGTCCATGAAGAACTCTATGGTCCACAGACGGCCCATGGAGTACTCTACGGTCCACAAACTGACCATGAAGAACTCTATGGTCCACAGACGGTCCATGAAGTACTCTATGGTCCACAAACTGACCATGAAGTACTCTATGGTCCACAAACTGACCATGCAGAACTCTATGGTACACAGACTGACCATGAAGTACTCTATGGTCCACAGACTGATCATGAAGTACTTTATGGTCCACAGACTGTCAAGAAGTACTCTATGGTCCACAGACTGTCATGAAGTACTCTATGGTCCACAGACTGACCATGGAGTAATCTATGGTCCACAAACTGATCAGGAAGAACTCTATGGTCCACAGACTGACCATGAAATACTCTATGGTCCACAGACTGACCATGAAGTACTCTATGGTCCACAAACTGACCATGAAGTACTCTATGGTCCACAGACTGGCATGAAGTACTCTATGGTCCACAGACGGCCCATGAAGTACTCTACGGTCCACAGACTGACCATGAAGTACTCTATGGTCCACAGACGGCCCATGAAGTACTCTATGGTCCACAGACGGCCCATGAAGTATGCTAAACTCTTGAATGCATTAATGAATTTTCAAAGGTTAAGAGGTATAGCGGAATGCACCCCGTTGATGTCCTTGGGTGAAGTAAGACGTCTTATCGAGTCCTACACGCCGAAGCAGATGTATTTGAGGCTTGAGTACTCATCAAGTCCGTACTTGGAGCCTTCCTTGCCTATTCCTGAGTACTTGACACCCCCAAAGGGAGCCTCACAAGTAGACATGAGAGTCTCGTTAACTCCCACCATCCCCACCTCCATCGCCTCGGCTACTCTCCATACTTGACTCACGTCGTTAGAGTAGAAGTAACCTGTGAAGCAGGATAATTAACACCTGAGTAACACATAAGCTTATATTACACTGTAAATGAAAGGTTTCTTACAAAACTTAACCTAACCTAACCTAACCTGACCTGACCTAATCTAACCTAACCGAACATAGATATCGGCATTGACAGTAACATAAGTAAATTTGCTGATGACACTAAAATAGGACGTGTTATTAAATCTGACGAGGACTCGGCAAAACTACAGGAAGGTCTAAACAAATTTTTCGAATGGTCTGAGAAATGGCAGATGAAATTCAACGTGGACAAATGTAAAGTACTCAGTATAGGAGATGTAAACAGGGAAACCAGATACCAGATGAACAACGATGCCATAGAGAAATCCGACTGCGAGAGAGATTTAGGAGTAATGATAAGTAGGAACCTTAAGCCAAGTAAACAATGTGTTTTTGCTCGTAACAAGGCTAATAAAGTACTTGGGTTCATACAAAGGAGTGTTAGTTACAAGACTAGCGAGGTCATCCTAAAACTGTATCTTGCCCTTGTGAGACCACACCTGGATTACGCAGTTCAGTTCTGGTCACCGTATTACAGAATGGATATAGAATCCTTGGAAAGAATTCAGAGGAGAATGACAAGACTAATCCCGGGCATTAGGAACCTTGAGTATAGAGACAGGTTAAACCATCTTAATTTGCACTCCCTTGAGAGACGTAGAGCGAGGGGCGACCTGATAGAGGTGTATAAGTGGAAGGCAGGGCTAAACAAAGGGGACATTACAAAGGTACTCAAACTATCCAACCAGGAGCGAACTCGTAACAATGGTTTTAAATTAGACAAATTTAGATTTAGGCGTGAAATAGGTAAACACTGGTTTGGAAACAGAGTAGTGGATGAATGGAACAAGTTACCAAATATCATCATTAACTCGAATACGCTGAATTGCTTCAAACATAGGTTGGATGCTCATATGAGCAATAGGGGTTGGGTGTAAACGGGACTGCCCAGTATGGGCCAATAGGCCCGCTGCAGTTTCCTCCATTCTTATGTTCTTATGTTCTTAACCTAACCTAACCTAACCTAACCTACTTTGGGTATAATTTTACTATCTTATTGTCTCCCCAACTGATCTTCCTCTTTTATAGGTAAAATATACAGTATGTTAATCACGAGCTGTAGTAAACAAGACTGCCGTGAGTTAGTCAAGGTCACACGACACTGTGGACAAAATGAGAATAACAAGACTACAGATGATGTTTTAAGTTATTAATAATAATGTATTTTTAATTAAGCTACAGTTTAAGAAAATAGTGGATTAATTATAACAATTCACATATCAAACAATACATTTATTTAATGAGGTATTTTGAAAGAATGTGTACTCATGTTAAATTGCCATATTTTAGAAAAAAAAATGCTTAAGGAAACAATTTATTGGCGGCTACAAATGTTGTATTGGTGACGTAAATTATTAGTTGTTGAAGGAGAGGAGTGGAACAAACAGGAGACTCGGCCAACCAATACACGAGATTATTGGTTTAATTTAGCGTTGTCTTGTGTTAATACTTACAGAGGTATTCGTCAGAGGAAACATTATTTACATTCTGAACAGAGTTAGAACACGAACTTACCAAAGTCTTGTCCGAGTGCTTGGTCAGTCTCACCTCATCTGTTTTCTGCGTTAAGGCGTGACGAAAAACATACATAAATTACCATGATCGTGTATAGTTTAAGAAGACTCCTTGTTGTGATTAGTAAGGGCGTGTTTATTTAGTGAGTAGGAAGGAGGACCTACCTGCCAAGCCCCGCCGGGTATGGTTGGACAGTTTCACCACCTCCTCCTCCGTCTTGAACTTCATGATGATCGCCACGGGGCCGAAGATCTCGTTCTTGGCCAGAGTCATGGCAGGGGTAACGCCCGTCAGCAAGGTGGGCGGGTAGTAGAGGCCACTCATCGACGTCCCTCCACGCACCACCTGCGCCCCCTCTGCTACCGTCTCCTTCACCATCTTCACCAGCTGTAGTGTCACCAACCAGGATAAAGCAAAGAGAGCGAGGGTGAGATACAGAGGAAGAAGTGAGTGACCTGACACTGAACTGAGTCATACAGACACAGGAGTCAGAGTACATCACGGAGAGTCACATTACACACTGTGAGTCACAAAACACCAGGTTGAGTCACAGTGCATCAGGGTGAGCACATATCACCAGGAGACGACATGAGTCACAGTGCACCAGGGTGAGTCACATTACCAGGGGGCGACATGAGTCACAGAGCACCAGGGTGAGTCAAAGATAAATCTGCACCCAATGAACTTGAAGTTGGGTGGTGGTCTTGTGAATGAGCAACAGGAATACCGTGTACAGTGGCTAATTTATACATTACACCTGGTGCTTGGATAGCTTGGTGTCAGTTGCTGCCACAACATCTGCTCCGTCGTTAGAGACACAAGTTTGCGCCATGCGAGTGTAGTTGCAAGCACTGATGATCTCCCTCGAACTTGGCATATGGATCTTCACTGAAGACTGAGATGCCGAATACTTATAACAAACTCACTGAGACTTTATTTCCAGAGATGACATTCACCAAACACTGATCCTGGCTGGATGACTACCTCATGAGGAATCTCACAGGTTTTCTCACAGAACATAGAAAAATAATGTAGAAAACTGATCTTTTTTCACAATTGCTGCTCTAAGGTCTACCTAACACCACGGAGTAAAGTCTCCTAAAATACCACTTGAAGAAAAGTCAGAATCCAAGATGGCCGCACTTCTATGTACAGCTATTTAGTAGTTAACTGAGTGGCATGGACGCATTGATAAATATATCGACGTTACTAGACAATGACTCCCGGACACAAACATGAAATGGATACACTTCCCACCGTAAGTAACTCACCCTATGGATCGCTTTGACAATGACTCACGTGTGACCTGAGGGAGGCCCAGTGGCTAGGGAATGCCAGCAGGTGCTGCTGAAGAGAGTGGTCCCAACAGGTGCTGGACTCTGTCTCCTGTGGAAGACTGCTAGCTGGGGACTCGGTGCTGGGGAGGGAAGTCTCCCTCCCGACCTCGACTAGTGACGAGCGTGACTCGTCTTCCTCTGAGTTCTGTGTGACCCTGTGAAGGAGCTGCAGGCCCCTTATATTGGTGGTCACAAGCTGGCAGATGACCTCTCTTAATTAACACTAATCTTGGTGTGTCAAGACAGCTGTGATTGCCCAGGTGCGTGGTGCTGGCTGGAGGGGAGTTTTCTTGAGTTAACACGGTCATGATCGCGTGGCGGTGAGAACTCTGGTTCCCTTTGTGACCGTGACCTCTACTGGGTCAGGTCTTAATCTCACTATAATTACTGTAGGGTGTGTCAACTTACGTGGGTGAGCACGTGTTCTTCCCTGGGCTGTAAGCTATGGTCTGATAAACAATCATTGCAATCTGTCGTCAGATTATGTATAACTTGACTTAGTTGTTGCACCTCCACCCCTTCAGTACAGTTTCAGTGGCACACTCACCAGCGAGAAGCACCTTGTGCACTTCTTGGAACCTGTTGATGCTAACCCCATGCAAGCAGCTTGGTATCTCTAGTAAGATCGTTATGAATGTGACTGATGTTAGGAAATGAGCAGGAAGGGAACCCGCATATGTATACCCAGTCATCATATGAACAAACTGAATTGGGTGCATAGAAACTCTTCCACAGGTTATCTAAACTGCTACCACCCATAATGCGTAGATGGTGTTAAATCTGAGTGGGGTTGTGTAACCAGTGGGGTTCCCCAGGGGTCAGTACTGGGCCCACTCTTGTTCATAATCATACATAAACGATCTAGGTACTGGGATCAGCAGTGACATACTGTAAGCAAGTTTGCGGATGACACCAAAATAGGGCGGCAGATTAATTCAGGGCAGGATGCAAATGCACTACAGGAGGATTTAAATAAACTGCAGGAGTGGTCAGAAAAATGGCAAATGAAATTCAACACCAGCAAGTGAAGTGTACTGAATATTGGAAGAACAAATTATGTCAATGTATACAGCCTTAACAACATCAACCTATAGAAGTCGATTTGTGAAAGAGACTTAAGGGTACTTGTAAGCCCAGACCTACGGCCTAGAAAACAGTGCGTTATTGTTCGAAATAAGGCAAACAGAGTATTAGGTTTTATATCTAGAAGTGTAAGTAATAAGAGTGCAGAGGTCTTATTGCAACTATATTTTGCGCTAGTCAGGCTGCACCACGATTATGCGATTCAGTTCTGGTGCCCTTATTATAGAATGGATATCAATTCACTGCAGTCGGTGCAGCGAAGAATGACGAAAATGATTCCGGGACTTAGAAGCCTTCCATATGAAGATAGGTTAAAGAAACTAAACTTGCATTCCCTAGAAAGACGAAGAGTGCGGGGAGATATGATAGAAGTATTTAAGTGGGTGAAAGGAATCAATAAAGGCAATATAGATAAAGTTCTTATAATATCCGAGCAGGACAGGACTCGTAGCAACGGATTTAAGTTGGATAAGTTTAGGTTTAGGAGGGAGATAGGAAGGAACTGGTTCACAAATAGGGTGGTGGACGAGTGGAACAAGCTTAGCAACTTTGTAGTAAGTACTGGAACGCTGGAGAGTTTTAAAAGGAAGGGTAGAGAGATTCATGGATGATAGAGAGTGGTAGTAACTCTCGACAGGAGCTGCCATGCACAGGCCAACCGGCCTATTGCAGACTCCTTATTTTCTTATGTTATGTTATCTAATGGACCCTGTGTCGTGAAATAGAGATCACATTATAGCTTCTTTCAGAATTTTTCCAAAAACTGATGCATCACAATGTAGGGTGACAACAAAAACTAACTCAAATTTAGATTCTGATCATTCCAATGAATTCCTTGGGTCCATGATAAAAACCCCACCGGACAAAAACCCCAGGACAAAATCTCCAAGTCTACCGGACAAAACCCCCATCTCTACTGGAACCTAACCTAACCTAACCTAACGTTAAATGAAATTTGTATGAAAAATAGAAACGAGCTATCTAGCTTCCGACTGTATTCAAAGACTGCTTAAGGAAAACTGAATTAGTGCACAAGTGAACATGGGTTTTATACAGTTCGCCTCATGGTCCCACACGTCATTAAACAGACCTGAGAGACCAGAGATTGTGAGGTCACGGGTCCCCTGAGGTCTCAACAAGTGAGGACAGTAATGGTAAGATCTAATATTAAAGTGGATTTGTAAGAAAATTATTGAAAACTTTAAACAAATTCTGTTTTATTTTTTACTATGTGGGGTTTTTGTCCGGTAGGGGTGGGGATTTTGTCCTAGGGGATTTTGTCCGGTGGGTTTTTGTCCGGTGGGGATTTTGTCCTGGGGTTTTTGTCCTAGGGGATTTTGTCCGGAGGGGTTTTTGTCCGTATCCTGAATTCCTTATACCCAAAACCTGGGTCCAGAGCCAAGACATATTTTCCTGTGATAAGTAATACCCAAGTTATAACTTTTAGTGTTTTCCAAATATTCACAAATTACGACGGCGGCCATCTTAGATTCTGACTTTTCCTCAAGTGTTATTTTAGGGGACCTTACTCCATGGTGTTACGTAGACCTTAAAGCAGCAATTCTGAAAAAGATTAGCTTTCTGCATTTTTTCTAGGTTAAAGCTAATGCTCCTGTACTACACTTGCAAAACGAGACGGAACGCACTATTGCGGACAAGAACTGCAGCTGGCAGATATCAGGTCATTGATGGCACGAGATTAACTTAGTAAGAAAAAAAATGGCATCGGTAACTTGTGAAAATTCCCCGTAATATCAGGAAGTGTCTGCACCCAAAAGCCACAAGCCTAAGTACTGGAAACTTGGAGCTGATAATGTACCAAACAACGATGCACACACAGACTAGCCTGATGAATGTATACCCCCCAAGTGTGTCGTCGTATTGTATTCTTTGACACCTCCACAATGCCTACTTATCTCGCGACAGAAAGAGACACATTATCATCCCAACCTTGTGATCCTCAGCTTATAGAAAAACATCGCAACTCCATCTGATAACCTTCCAATCATCAAGGAGTTCACCGTCCAGGAGAGCATATCACTTATCTCTCTCCACAACAGATATATAATGTTCAAGAGGCTCATATTTCGGACGTCTGTCGGCCAGTAACGTAGTATCATTAACCAATTTAGGCATGTCAAATTTGGTTTATTTTTCTTTGTTTAATATTATTAAGTTCCGTAGTTCCGCACGGCATGTATAACATTAGACCTCACATAGACACAAGGAAGTTCAGATCACCATGAAACAACGACCAGCAATATACGACGGTTGTCCAGTGTTTCACGCCGGGGTTATAGTGCAATGGTCTCAACACACAGAGAACATTCAACACAGAGCCAAGATAATCATCATTAAGTATAGCAACAGTTAAAGCGAGAGGTTCTCATAACTACGGTCTATCCTACACTTGCTCAGCGGGAAGAAGGGATGTCTTTGATATTCGCATGAAACCCGTGGAATACAGTAGACACAGGGACTTACTGCCACTTCGCCGCCACGATATAAGAGCAGATTAATACGAGAGAAGACGTGCTTACTCTAGTGCTCTGTGACCTATCGTGATGGTTTGTGACTCCCGTCCTTCCCCACAGAACAACAGAGAAAAACATGAGTCAGAGTACAGCAGGTTGAGTCACAGGGCAGGAGTAAAATTCATGAGAAACAGAGCATCGAGGTGCGTCACAGAGCAAGAGGGTGAGTCACAGAGCAAGAGGGTGAGTCACAGAGCAAGAGGGTGAGTCACAGAGCAAGAGGGTGAGTCACAGAGCAAGAGGGTGAGTCACAGAGCAAGAGGGTGAGTCACAGAGCAAGAGGGTGAGTCACAGAGCAAGAGGGTGAGTCACAGAGCAAGAGAGTGAGTCACAGAGCAAGAGGGTGAGTCACAGAGCAAGAGGGTGAGTCACAGAGCAAGAGGGTGAGTCACAGAGCAAGAGGGTGAGTCACAGAGCAAGAGGGTGAGTCACAGAGCAAGAGGGTGAGTCACAGAGCAAGAGGGTGAGTCACAGAGCAAGAGGGTGAGTCACAGAGCAAGAGGGTGAGTCACAGAGCAAGAAGGCGAGTCACAGAGCAAGAGGGTGAGTCACAGAGCAAGAGGGTGAGTCACAGAGCAAGAAGGCGAGTCATAGGTCTCCGTGTCCCCAAAAAACAAAAATCAGAGATAGAAGAAAATTAACCAATCATTATAAAGACGGATCATCAACGTTCTTGCAACATTGTTCAACATACCTGATAGTCATGTTTGTGAAATATTTAAAAACACTAAAAATCTCAACATTTTAAACACAAAAACATTTCAAAGTTGCAAAGAAAAAATATATCTTAGTCATAAAAAAAGTTTTAAACACAGAATTTACAGTACTTTCTTCTGTCATAGTGTGTCAGGTGGTACTGTTATAGTGTTTCAGGTGGTACTGCTATATTATGTCATGTGGTACTGCTATAGTGTAACATGTGGTACTGTCATAGTATGTCAGGTGGCACTGTTATAGTGTGTCATGTGGTACTGTTATAGTGTATCAGGTGGTACTGCTATAGTGTGTCATGTGGTACTGTTATAGTGTGTCAGGTGGCACTGTTATAGTGTGTCATGTGGTACTGTTATAGTGTGTCAGGTGGTACTGCTATAGTGTGTCATGTGGTACTGTTATAGTGTGTCAGGTGGTACTGTTATAGTGTGTCAGGTGGTACTGTTATAGTGTGTCAAGTGTTACTGTTATAGTGTGTCAGGTAGTACTGTTATAGTGTGTCAGGTGGTACTGTTATAGTGTGTTAGGTTGTACTGTTATAGTGTGTCAGGTGTTACTGTTATAGTGTGTCAGGTGTTACTGTTATAGTGTGCCAGGTGGTACTGTTATAGTGTGTCAGGTGGTACTGTTATAGTGTGTCAAGTGTTACTGTTATAGTGTGTCAGGTAGTACTGTTATAGTGTGTCAGGTGGTACTGTTATAGTGTGTTAGGTACTGTTATAGTGTGTCAGGTGTTACTGTTATAGTGTGTCAGGTGTTACTGTTATAGTGTGCCAGGTGGTACTGTTATAGTGTGCCAGGTGGTACTGTTATAGTGTGTTAGGTTGTATTGTTATAGTGTGTCAGGTGTTACTGTTATAGTGTGTCAGGTGTTACTGTTATAGTGTGTCAGGTGTTACTGTTATAGTGTGTCAGGTGGTACTGTTATAGTGTGTTAGGTTGTATTGTTATAGTGTGTCAGGTGTTACTGTTATAGTGTGTCAGGTGTTACTGTTATAGTGTGCCAGGTGGTACTGTTATAGTGTGCCAGGTGGTACTATTATAGTATATCATGTGGATAGTAAATTGGACTCACTCTGTCATGTTGACGTTGGTTTATTAGAGGTCCCTGGTTGACTCCGGTGTCCAGGCCTCTCCCCACCTTCAGTTCAGTGTCCATAGCGGCCGCCAGCCTCGACACAAACTCATCGTGAAGAGACTCATGGACGAAGAAACGGTTTGCGCTGACGCACGTCTGAATATGGGACGGAAAGCACGAAAATGTTGCAGCTTTGTGTCAGACCTATGAATCACTGAACACTGCTGTATGCATACAGAAGGTAGCAAGATAACAATGTCATGTATTTACCTACAAATGGAGCCCAAAGCATCTTCATATACGCAGTAGAAAACAAGGTAGCATTGTTTTCTTATTTCATTACAGTATATAAACAGAGTTACAGGTATCAGTATCATCGTTATCACAATTTTCCTCACCTGCGTGGGTTAGCCATGATTACCCGATGATAGCTCTATATGTTGTGTAGGCTCTTGCAGCCACTCTCTTCAAGTTTTTATCTGAGGCTATTTCTCACAATTTCTCCCCAGGTCATTCTCGGCCTACGCCTCCACATTCAGTCTCAGCCTACCTCTCTATACTCTTAATACACAGCCGCCCTTTTAGGTCCGTACAGTGTTTTTTTTCCTATCTCTTAACGTCACTAAACAGGCTCAACAAGAGTATGTTCTTCTAAACGGGCACAGGATCAAGAATATTGATTAGATTAGATATAATGGAACAACTGAATCCAATATATGATCATTAGATATGATATGCTCAGGAAGGCTGCAGAAAGTGAACCAAACTATGGGTATAGTAACTCGTTTGTACACGACCCTTGTTGAAACCGTACTCTTTAACGGAAGAGAACCTTTATGGGACATGAGGCTGCTCCAGTCACTTATTTCAGGTTGGGTTGAGTTCTTACCTTTGTTTCTTTATAAGAATAACGTTGGCTGCTGCCCCTTGGGTTTGTTAGTGACAGGTATTATGTGAAACGAAACTGGACGTTTTTCCTTTATTTCACAATGAACAATGTTTACAGGATTGGTCAGGAATATTTTGTATACGAAGTCTTCCGGTCAGATCTTAGCACAGGTCATTTGCTTTAGTCGAGTCCTGTGAAGTGTCTGAGCCTGCCCGTGTGAACGGAGACAAGTCAGCAATTTCGAGGTTAAGAATCTGCTGGAGCACTTTGCCATGCTTAGGGCATGTGTAATATTACTCTAACAATATAATAAATAATAATAAGTGAAAGGCGTAGTAGTTATTTTTATATAGTCTAATAGTGTGCTTATATACTTGCTATTACAAGACTATCTCGACATGTTCCTGTGTATTTGAAAACAAATGTCTCAAGAGTCAAGATGACTCGGAGATAGATGACAAAACCGGTTAAGAAATGATGTTGTTAGAGAAAGTATCAACGTACTGTACGTTACATCGATGAAACCTTAATGAAAAATCGGTGGAGATGGATGAGTCATGTATTTTGTATGGAATATGACTGAATTTTCAAGGAGGGAGCCAAAATAAGAGGCAGACTGTGTGTATCCTATCTGGCTAAGAACAATAAAGAAGGAGGCGGAAAAATCTGGAATATAATAACTTAGAGGACCAAAACAGATGTGGTTGGCAAAATCTGATGAGGGTCCTTTGTGTAACACGACGTTGGGGGTAGTAAGTAAATACCGACACGTTACACATGCATCTCATCACTGTTCAAGACTACTCATGCCATCTTCTTAACTGCCCATGTTTCGCTACCATACAACATGACATCTTTCGTATTTAACAAAACTAAGGTCCTCCCGCCGTCAATACAAGCAACATAATCATACATAAATAACAACATTTCTCTCTGAAATTAAACTGATACAAAAGTTAAGTCTATTGAACCCACTTGATGTATCAGAAGCCGTACCTGACCCGTGTTTCGGAACTTGGAGGCCATGGCTCCTGGGATGGCCAAGTCCAGGTTGGCGGTAGGGAAGACAATGAAGGGTGCGTCGCCTCCCAGTTCTAGTGACAGCTTCTTGACGGTGAGTCCACAGCGGGAGTACAGCCACTGTGGAGGATACAACAGTAGATTACCGCTAACATCATCCTTACCGCAACCATCACCATCCTCACCATCACCATCCTCACCACTACCATCCTCACCACCATCCTCACCACCATCCTCACTACCATCCTCACCACTACCATCCTCACCACCATACCCACCACTACCATCCTCACCACTACTATCTTCACCATCATCCTCACCACCATACCCACCACTACCATCCTCACCACCATACTCACCACTACCATCCTCACCACAACCATCACCAACACAACCATCACCAACACTTACACCAACAGCATTACCAACACAACCATCACCAACACTTACACCAACAACATTACCAACACAACCATCACCAACACTTACACCAACAACACCACCAACACAACCATCACCAACACCAACAACACCATCACCAACACTTACACCAACAACATTACCAACACAACCATCACCAACACTTACACCAACAACACCACCAACACAACCATCACCAACACCAACAACACCATCACCAACACAAACCATCACCAACACCTACACCACCAACACAACCATCACCAACAACACCACCAACACAACCATCACCAACACTTACACCAACAACACCAACACAACCATCACCAACACTTACCAACAACACCACCAACACAACCATCACCAACAACACCACCAACACAACCATCACCAACACTTACACCAACCACCAACACCACACAACCATCACCAACAACATCACCAACACAACATCTACAATCACCAACAACACCACCAACATAACCATCACCATCACCAACAACACCATCACCAACACAACCATCACCAACACTTACACCACCAACACAACCATCACCAACAACACCACCAACACAACCATCACCAACACACCAACAACACCATCAACACAACCATCACCAGCACTTACACCAACAACACCACCAACACAACCATCACCATCACCAACAACACCATCACCAACACAACCATCACCAACACCCACCACCAACACAACCATCATCAACAACACACATCACCAACACAACCATCACAACACCTACACCCACCACACACCCATCACCAACAACACCATCACCATCACCAACACAACCATCACCAACACCTACACCAACAACACCACCAACACAACCATCACCATCACCAACAACACCATCATCGTCACCAACATCTACACCACCAACACAACCATCACCAACAACACCATCACCAACACAACCAACACCTACACCTACACCAACAACACCACCAACACAACCATCACCATCACCAACAACACCATCATCGTCACCAACATCTACACCACCAACACAACCATCACCAACAACACCATCACCAACACCTCCACTGGTTCTCCTCGGTTACCACTAGACACAGTTCCCCAGACACTATAATGACTTACCTGACCCACCGCTGTCGACCCGGTGAAGGAGAGAACCTGTACCTGAGGAGAGTCACAGAGGGCAGCCCCTACCTCCAGTACCCGTTCCCGCGAGCATGGTACTACGTTGATCACGCCGGCAGGCACACCCACGTCCTCACACAACTGGGGGAAGAACCCGCAGGAAGACCTTCACTGAGCACATTTGCATTTGATCACTACACTGAAATCCAACTGTAGTTAATAAAACACAGACAGACGAGAACACGTTATATTTCATCTGTAACCTTGACCCAGTGACCTTACATAACCAAAGGACTTACCGTAACTCAATGAATTAATATGAACCAATGACGTGATAGGACCCAGTGACCTAACATGAAACACTGACCAATCGTGAGCTGAGATCTAACATGGTCCACAACTCTCTTACCTTGGTGAACGCAAGGGCTATTAGCGGGGTGTCTTCAGCTGGCTTGATGACGCAAGTGCAACCGGCAGCAAGGGCAGCAGCCAGTTTTCTGGCCATCATCGCGATTGGGAAGTTCCACTGAAAGTAAGTAACCTTAGTGGGTGGTAGTGACCTTAGTGTGTGGTATTAACTTTAGTGGGGATTAGTGTAGTGACCCACTGGGTGGTATTGACCTTTCTGGTGGTTGTGTAGCCATTGCCACGTATCGAGACAATAACACCAGGAAAAATTTCTCACCATGCCTGAACACGTGAGCGGCAAGACGACGCCAGTCACATCTTGTCAAACGTTGCATGGCGCGAATTATTAACCACTCATCAATTAGAATTGAAAAGTGACGTCACCACAGTCACGCCCCAATACGAACTGATAAAGTCATGCACACCTTCGGAGCTCACTTCACTTCCCTTCCCTCCCAACTTAATATAAAAATTTCCCTTGGTTGACAGTATCTCTAAAATCTCTGCTGGTATCTACAGTATGAGTCCTATATGTGCCTAACCAATCGGCTCATCTATCACGCAAAGTCTATTTCTTGGCACTTTGTTATTTTCATCTTAGGGTTTTGGTCAGCCTTAGTTGTAACAGTGTGGAAAAATAGGTAATGTAAGAACTCCTAACTAATGTGAAACACCGATTTATGACTGCGGTGAATACCAGTGACGAGACAAACTTTACTTATACCCGTATTATAGGTTGTTATGATTTAAATCAAATGATTTTAATCACATGATTTAAATCGATTTAAATCAGAGTAAAAAAATCATGATTTAAATCAAAATGATTTTTTTACTAATAACTGTTTTCTCTTTTTATTCTACATGATTGAAAAGTATATGCAATGCAGCAGGCTAATAACATCAAGATGATTAAAATGCTAAGACCAGGATATGTTCCACCTAATAGACATCAAATTGGAGGGTCTCTTTTGGATCAAGCCTACGATTTAGTGATTAAGAATTATTCAGAAGAACTTAGTGGGAAAACAGTTTGCATGGCCATGGATGGATGGGGTAATGTCCATAATGAGCCTATAGTATGCATAACTTTAACAGCTGACAACCGTATTTGTCTTGTTGACTCTATAGACACAGAATCAAGACACACAGCTGAATATCTGTTGAAATTAGCTGAATGTGCTACAAAAAAGTGTGAAGACAAATTTGGATGCACAGTAAGAAGCTGTGTAACAGATAATGCTGCTAATATAGCAAAAATGAGAAGTGAATTCGGACAAGATAAATCCATTATAACATATGGTTGCTCTGCACACCTGTTAAATTTGCTTTCACAAGACCTGCAATTCAAGAACATCAAGGAGCACATTACTGAAATCATTAAGTACTTCAGAAATCATCACATCCCAGGATCTTTGTATAGAAGAGCAGGAGGAACAATGCTAGTAATGCCATCAGACACACGATGGAACACAGTGACAGATTCTGTTGTATCTTATTTAAAGAACTGGGAGACCCTTGTCAAAGTGTGCAAAGAAAATAGTGAAGACATTGATAAGAAAATTGAAAGGAAAGTTAATGATAAGGCATTAAAAAGAACTGCAGAAGACTATTTAGAGAGACTTAAGCCATTGCTGTGGCATTGGACTGTGTCCAGAGAGAACATACCCTATTAAGTGATGCTGTAGAAATCTGGGTAAAACTGAAAACTGATATTAAGGAGTATTTAACAGATAAGAAGGATATGGATAATTTTGAAAAAAGAATCAAAGTAGCATTGACACCTGCCCATTTTCTAGTTAATGTGATAGATCCAAGGTATCAGGGCAGACATTTGACTCCTGAGCAGCGAGACATTACAGAACAGTATGTGTGTGCGAGTCTCTTCCACATTTCCTTTCAACATTAATGTCCTTCCATGGAAGAAGTGCACCATTTAAAGAGGTCTATTTTGGTAAAGATGTTGTAAAATCTCTCTCACCCCTTGCTTGGTGGCAGTATTTTGCCAATGATATGACAGAAAATGTAATGGATGTTCCTAGGCAATTATTTACAGCTGTTGCATCATCAGCAGGGGTTGAGAGAATTTTTTCCACATATGGATTTGTACACTCAAAGGTAAGAAATCGCCTAGGACAGGAAAAGGCATCTAAGCTTGTCACAGTACATAAGCATTTCAATGTTCAACTAAGCTAATTTAAATGTTGTGAACTATTTTTGTTGTTTACAGAATGAGGATATTGTGTTGACTTGAAGTTATTACCGGTAATTCTTAATACACTATAATCCTACAAATGTAAGAAAATAAACTTATCAGTATTATTTTTTTTTTACAAAATGAGAATATTATTCTGTTGACTTGAAGAAGTTAAGTTATTAATTTTTGAAACACTGTAATCCTATAAGAGCATTTATGTTAAATTTCATTATTACGTTTGGATTTGTGCACTCAAATGTAAGATATGTTACCAGTTTTCTTTTATGTTACAAAAAGAATATTAGTGTGTTAAATTCCATTGGTACATCTACTGCATAAATATCTTAATGCCAATTTTCTGTTTATTATCCTGAATAAGCTGTTGTTGAAAAATACTGTTTTTATGGTTTAAAAATACTATTTTAATGCAATTAGTAAAAAAAATCGGTTTAAATAAAAAAAATCCGATTTAAATCAAATAAATCGATTTTTTTTATTTATTTTTTTTAAATCATGATTTTTTCCAACCCTGCGGGCCGTATAGTACTTATGTGATTTTGTGATTTTGTGATTCCTTTTATACATACGTATGTAATTTTGTTGCTAAAATACAGATACCTTCTCAATAATTTTTACAAGTGATTAATTAATGTCAACATTACTTTGTTGTTCTTACATGTTACACTTTAGTAAAGACGCATGTGTTAAGTTCTGACCTGAGTCTTAGTCATTTGATTTTTTTTTTTATTGGGCACCCCCCTACATCCTTGTGTAAGGTGAAGCGCAGAAGCGTTTACAGCGCCCAACAGGGAAGCATGCTAAGTTCATGCTTGCCTTTATGTCTCATGAGTTAAGGGCGTAGAAGCCTGAAGAGTCAGTGGTTTATGTCATCAAGTTATTGGAAGCTCCAACAACTTTCCCTGAATACGAATTCGCAACTTTCGATTTACACCAAGTACCTACTTTACTGCTAGGTGAACAGGGACTAATGGGGGCTAGGAAGTAAGTCCAAACAACTTCCACCGGCCCGGGAATCGAACCCGTTACATCTCGCTTGCGAGGCAAGAACGGTACCGCTTCTACCACCGGCCCCCCAGGTCATTTGATTATTTCATGGTACATAACTAAGTTTTAAGTATAATATGAAAATTGTCACAGTTCATTTTAACTATCCTCTCATACATGACAACTAATAAATTACATACTATTATTCTGAATACTCTATACCTTAGTTAAGATGGAAACTTCTGCTCAGTATCTTACTTACATAATTTCTCCAATAACCAGTGAAAGTATTGATGAAAATCACGATATTGTTAACGAGAGGTGTGGTAGTGACTTTACTGGGTGGTAGTGACTTTACCGGGTGGAAGTGACTTTACTGGGTGGTAGTGACTTTACCGGGTGGAAGTGACTTTACTGGGTGGAAGTGACTTTACTGGGTGGAAGTGACTTTACTGGGTGGTAGTGACTTTACCGGGTGGTAGTGACTTTACCGGGTGGAAGTGACTTTACTGGGTGGTAGTGACTTTACTGGGTGGTAGTGACTTTACTGGGTGGTAGTGACTTTACCGGGTGGTAGTGACTTTACTCGGGATGGTAGTGACTTTATCATGGTTGTGACTTTATCAAGTGGTTGTGACTTGAGTGGGAAGTGGTTTTACTGGGTGGGTACTAACTTTACCGGGTGGAAGTGACTTTACTCGGGTGGTAGTGACTTTACTGCTGGTTACAGACTTACTGGGTGGAAGTGACTTACCGAGGGAAGGACTTTTTATCATGGTAGTGACGTTACCGGGTGGAAGTGACTTTACTGGGTGGTAGTGACTTTTATCAAGGACGCCAGACTTACTGGGTGGAAGTGACTTTACTGAGTGGAAGTGATTTTACTGGGTGGTAGTGACTTTACTGGGTGGTAGTGACTTTACCGGGTAGAACTGACTTTACTGGGTGGTAGTGACTTTACTGGGTGGTAGTGACGTAACAGAGTGGTAGTGACTTTACCGGGTGGTAGTGACGTAACAGAGTGGTAGTGACTTTACTGGGTGGTAGTGACTTTACTGGATGGTAGTGACGTTACTGGTGGTAATGTAGTGACCTCCTTGGGCTATAGTGTAGCGATGTATTGTGACCTTACTGGGTGGTACTGTTTCCATTATTGGGTTCCATTTAATGAGTTAAGCAGCCTGTCTTACCGGGGTGATGAGAGCGGCCACACCTACAGGCTGCCTGATGGTGACCATACGCTTGGAGGCAACGCTGCTGGGGATGGTCTCTCCGTACTGGCGGCGGGCCTCCTCCGCGAACCACTCGAAGAAGGACGCCGAGAACCCCACCTCTCCAGCTGACTGCCCCAAGGGCTTCCCCTGCGACGGAGAGAAGTAGGTGAGTACCGGCGATCATAGCATAGAAGAATAATGGAAAATGAGAGAAAGATGAGACTGATCAGTCTGTATTTTTTTTTTACGGGAATTAGCCCACCCGGGCACAGGTCAAACGACCCACACCGGAGCCTGGGGGCGAAAAAAAAAAACGGAAAGAAATTGTAAATATAGAAAAAAAAGGTTATATTGTATTAATCTACACCACGAAGATGCCGGAAAACCAGCTTTTTAAAGTGAGACATTGTAAGTGCATTGAAACACAGAAGAAGGCAGAGCATTCCACAGTTTGGCTGTGTGAGGAAAGAAGGAGGTACTATAACGGGTTATTCTCGTATATGACACTTGAACGCAGAGATCAACGTCTCTTGACACCTCTCTCACCCGCCTCCCCTTCGCATGGATTATTGTACAATAAGAACAGAAAGAAAGGCTAATAAAGGAGATAAAGGAAGGGAAAAACAAAGAGAAAGAAAGAAATACTTGTAAACATGTAGAGAATAACGAAGGTTGTAAAGGCGGGAGGCCCTGTCATACAGACACACAGACGAAGATAGAAAGATGAAGAGAGATGAAAGGAGGTAACTTACACTCTCCCTGGTAATAGTAGTAGCAAGGTTGTCCTTGTTAGCCAGCAGAGAGTCTCGGATCTTATACAGGAGAGCGGCCCTCTCCTTTACTGAGGTGTGACGCCATATGAGGTATGCCTCAGACGCTGCCTCTGTAACACCATAATACTCACATCCACTAGTTATCAACACTAAGAAGAATTCCATTGTTTCCATAAGTTTGTCAATAAACATTTTATGGCTGCCTCCACCACCCCAGCATTTGTTAAATTAATCCTACTGCTCCTTGGATATGTGATCCAACTTTTATTGTATAATAGTATTATCTCTTATACTTACTATCAAATATTAATAGAATAATGTCGTCTTCCATATATTGTTAAATATTGATATTTCCTTATGAGATACTATGATGAACTCTTAATATTAGTGTGTACAAACAATAGTAACAATTTTCACAACGTATTTATTGCACATAAAATGATGTACAATCACTATCTAATTAGATATTAATTTACATTCTCTATTTCCCTCATCTTATTAATTGAATATTATTATAATTTTATTATCAAACAATTCTTAAAGTAGTTGAAAATGTCAAGAAGACCAATAAATGGTGCAATAAAATTTCTCATTATAGTAGCGGTTTTTGTGCATAATATCAACAGTGGTATATAAGTCATCGTACTCAAGGGGCTTGTTCATCGTGCTCAGCCATCGTATTGAAGAGGTTAAAATAAGACATAAATATTTTGGATGTAGATGTTGACTTGCATCACGTATTTGTGTATCATTTAATAATACAGACCATATAATACATCACTCACCTCTACCAGGTGCTACTCGCCTTCACCTGGTACAGTTGCGGAAATGTGTTCCTACACCCCCTGTGGTAACCCTTTTTGTCTCCTAACGGCCGACCTATATGACCTATAGCAAACCTATCCACTAATCACGTCCATCGTTACACGACCAATACCCATTCAATCATAAATAGTGATACTGCTACTGTTAAGTTGCCGTTTGGGACACGGGTTACCACAGGGGGCGTAGGAACACATTTCTGCAGCTGTACCTCTCACCTCTACCTCCCACCCAGTTGAATTATTTTTGTTGCTGCTTCTTTGTATAGCAAAAGATAAACGAACTGGACGAGCATAGTTTCCCCAGATCCTTACCATGGAGTCGTGATTGTCACAACAGTTCTATATAACTTGGTCTGCGTCACCCCCATGCTCCTGTAAACATACCTATAGCTTCTTCTACGTCTTGGGAAGAACAGTCGGCCACCTGAGCGATCTCTGCGCCTGTTGCTGGGTCGTAGACGGCGAAGGTTCCTCCCCGTCCGCCCCTCCACACCCCTCCGACGTACGCCTCAGTTACTAGTTTCTGTGACATGGTTCTCAGGTAGGTGCCGGGTTTACTGTAGTTATTGTAACCTGGGAAACTGTAGTTCGAGACGAAGGTTAATATAGCCTACTGTGAGAACCACACAAAGGTCACTATTGACCTAAAGCTGGATAGCTTCAAACATAGGTTGGATGGATATATGAGCAATAGGGGTTGGCTGTAAATGAGACTGCCCAGTATGGGCCAATGGGCCAGCTGCAGTTTCCTCCATTCTTATGTTCTTATGTACAGCGTGGACCAAAACTTAAATTTACCCAATATAGCCTATCTCGAATCTAAACATCCAAATACTTATGGTAGTTTAAGTAAAATTTTATCCATTAATTAACATAAATGATGATATATCCCAATGGTTCATTAGTGATTCATCAAAACAATAACAGCACTATGTTGTCATGTTTACTTAAGCCAGACAATGTCATTACTTTTAAATTGACTCGTCTCTCCATCTAGTACTGATATACTCTGTACCCGTTATAAATGGAAGCAACTTTACAATAAGAGTAATAAACTAAAACATATTGTTACGAACCACGCCACCAATTGTCATGATCTACCTACCCAGCACTACGAACCACGCCATCTATTGTCCTGATCTACCTACCCAGCACCACGAGCAACGCCATCTAGGGACGAAACCCGAGTATACTACTCTTAGTTACCACTCCGGGGTCTCCCTTCTCCATATCCTGGTTGTTGCGTCACCTCCTCAAAGTCTTCTTCGTGAGCTCCAGTTCGATGAGAGTTCAGTTTACTCTGGGAAGTGACCACAGGATCACCTATCCTGGAAACCTACCGCACAGTGACTACCTACCGTCTTCTACAATGCTCAGCCTTGCTCGTCAGCCATCTCAGCTCCGCACTTAGGTATTTGTAATCTTATATACCCTCCCCACGTCCACCTTGCTTCAAATTATTGTATGTTGTATAAATATGTATATACTGTTAATGTTTAGGTTAAGTATGGTTAAGGGTAAATTATAGAAAGCTGAATATTTTGCTAAGGAATTTATGGTACTTTATTATACACAACAAAAACTCGCATCCTTTGTCTACCCTTTTATAGTCCGATTGTCTTTGTTTTTTTATTGTTGTTGCCTGTTGGGATCTGGGTAGACTTTTAACTATACTCTAAATCCCCAACTCGTAACAATATCAAAAAATGCTAAAGTACTTAGTTACAATTTTGTCCAAATATCAGCTTCCTGCCTCAAAATTGTCTAAGTTATAAAAGGAGAAACTGGAAAAAAAGCAACAAAAACAAACTCGCGAACAACCAATTATTTAACCTTATTTCGTGAGGCAGCTGGAGACAGACTGGGGAGGGGGGGGGGGAGGTACAATAACAACAATGAGGTAGTGTTTATTGACCATATCATTAGAGATGGCGAAATGATAGTAAAATTACGAATGGGTAAATTTGAATGCAGAAACAAAGATGAAAGTTGAGACTTGGATGGATATGTGGAATTAAAATCTATGGTGCCCGGACAGATACGAATTATTAGAGAATTGCCAGAAAACATTGGATTGACAGTGGTCGCCAATCCTCAGACCTGAGGGTGATACCTTGATTGATTTATTGTTGTATATATGGATACAGATACAAAAATTGCATATTTTTTTTCATGTTCTATTTCTGGGTTACTCTTGCTTATCGTGTCTCCTACCACTGTCACCCTCGTCTTCAGGAAGCTGGGGTTGACGAGGACTTCACAAGACACACGCGTAACTGACTTGCTGCATGATCTAAAATACCCGGATATTCTCTGATAATTATCTAAAGCATCGACGTAAGGAGGCCAGTTCATGTAAGAAGGGTGAGAACATTTACGCAGAGAGCGAGTGTAAAGTCACACACAGTCTTAGAGGCTATACATAATTCTTCAAATTCGTTACGCTGGAATTTTCAGAATTTAGTGATGTATTTTTACACACATCTGCCTGGTGTACAGAATATGACGATGAATTGTAGTTTATTATTGTCTCATCTCCTGCTTCACTGTCTTTACATGCATCATCAACGATGTTACTTAATTCTCGTCTGAATTCCGGTACAGCTGTGTACAAAAGGAATTCGCCGTATTGGGAGGCAGCCAGGTGGTGTAGAGGAGAGTAGGGTTGGTGGCCACTTAACACCGTCGCATAGAGGTGGCAATTAAAAGTCTGAGATATTCTTTCGACACCATATTTGAGTTTTGTTTATTTTAATTTTGAGGCAGAGGCAGAATACACTCCTTCCCTAAATGAGGTGCATCCGACAAATAACGCTTTGGGTTCTTTGACCTGTCACAATATAAACCTTGTCCATGTTCGCGTGTAGGGCTTGAGAAAATTCACTTGATAGGCAGATACGGTTGTAAAGGATGAGAGACAAGAACAGCACTATGTTAGCCTCTTTGACAGTCTCGACGAGGTATAAAAAACACACAGACATACCAGAGTGTGAGTACAGTTGGTAGTGTACGTGGAAAGCAGCGGGGGACCCAGTCACTCGCCCTGGTGATTTGCTCACCTTGACTCACCTACACCCGGCCTTGCCTGTGTGTTATGCCGGCGACTGTTATTGTACACATCCCTTATCTATGTTTGGCCACGGTGACTCTTGACTTTTATAGCCATCTTTATTATTTCACAAGCTGTCGGATAATAAAGTCTCACATTGCTGAAGATGAGGATAATATCTTGCTCTCGTGGTATCGACATTAAACTATCTAATTCTTGATGATTATGATGATTGATGACCCACACATATGGTAACTGTGACGGTATCTGAGGACCATCATAATCACCACATACTCTTCAAATAGTAAAAGATAAGCAAAGAGATAAGTATGACCATATTTACAACCTTATCAAGTCCAAGAGAGAATGTCACCAATACTAGTTTCTCTTCCCCAATGTCAGGGAAGTCTGGAGGTGAACTCTTGATCTAAGGAATCGAACAATTTCCATTTAAATATTATAAATTAATTAATTTTGATTATATGTCTTTGAACATACAACACAAAATCAACTGATCTTTGTATATAGTGTTACTGCCCAATGAGCGACTGTGGGATAATGAAACCCTTGCACGTAAGACTCGATTGTTCTTTATTCGGTCAAAACCTGCAGAGTACAAATTACATATGTTACGTATGAGATAGTTAATTTACTCGTACGTTCCTTCACTATTAACGATTACATATAATGTATTTGAGTAGAGTAGGGTGTTAAACCATATAAAACTTACGTGTTTCGGGTTTAATGTAGGACTTATTAACTTCCTGACTTGATGGCTCACTGGATAGCTAGAGACTAGTCTAGCTAGTCAGCCCGAGGCGAGGTCATCTGTTTCACATTTACCACCTTAGCAAAGCTCGTTGTCAACACTCCCTCTGTCTCTCTCCTGTCCCCCCTTCTCTCTCTCTCTCCCTTCTAGTTTATCCTACTGTGGCGGTAATATATAGAAACCAGTCAAAATTATTTTGAATCGACTCAAAATCCCACCAAGTGTTGTATATTGACTTTTTCAATATCAGACCAAATGATATGGTTCAACTATTAAAGTCATTAGGTTTTTTTGGCATTACCAAATCGTGTGTACGTTTCGTATCCCATCAAAATAATTTTGGTTAAATGCTTCGCCAAAAACTCTTCCTCCGTACACATTGTACCTGTCAGCAGGTGCAGGATGATGACTTGCTAGCTTAGTCCCAGGACAGGCGCTGAACTCGTAACTCAGGGGCCATACTTGCCAAAAGACGTGCTACATATGTGAAAATATGTATTTTGTAGAGGAATTATCTATGCTCATAAACAACAAAAAACTAAATTAGAATACTATCAATCATCTGAAATGATCGAATAAAGATGTTGAAATGTCACACAAAATATTCAATTATCGTTGTCATTCAGATGTTATCACGTAATATTAGACCAATGGTCAACCTTCATGGTCCACCGGTTGGGATCCACTGCTACTATTATTGTGCCTCCATCATACTGATCTGCTGGGTCAGACGCCAGGGTGTTCATACAGAAGTATTACTTCAGGTGTTTTTATTATTACTACTACTACTTTTACTTCTACCGGTACTAAAAACACTACAACTACATACATTACTAATATTAAAAAAAATATATATTTTCTACGCTGCCTTCAGCCTCCCCCAATAGCCACACCTTTGCTACCATATTATTACCTTAATATTAATATCCTAAAATAAGATGAGCTACCCTAGCTGTGTTGAGTTAGTTAAGCCGCAGATCTACAGCATGCAGCATTCTGTGACTGTTGCCTCATAGTCAATATCTGTGACTGTTGTTGGCTTTGGGGCCAAAGATCTCGTTTCCTTGAGGCAAAGCAAAGCAGACCTAAGCAGAGAGAAAGACAGTCGACATCTCAACCAGGCTACAACGTGGCTTCTGGGTTGCTGTGTCTGTTCAGATAGCACCTGAGCCAGTCTTGCATAGCAGCATCTTGCACTTGTTCACTTTCAAAATTATCTCCCGTACGCCCTGTTCTTGTCGTTCTCGTTCCTCTTGTGTGCAGCCTCCAGAGATAGGTTATGGTGGCATGCAGCCATGGAGTCGAATATCCTGACGTCAAAGAAGGTTTGCTGCTGTCCCCGCATCCTGAATCCTCGAGCGCTGACATCCACACGGGTTTCGTTGGATATGTTGGAAGTCCTGTGATGGATGTTATCACCGTCCAATGGAAAAAGGGTCTGTTACACCGTGACGTCGTAGCAGAATTCCTTCAGTTTATTTGCCGTGAGATCCCTTGCTTCGTCATGCCACATGCATTCACTATGGTGTGGTGAATGTTGTAGGATGAGCCACAGGTGTATTGGGTGGGTTAACCTTCTACTGCCCATCCATCCCTTAGAGCAATGGCATCTTTAAATCCTTGTTTGTTAAAGCTGAAGCCTTTTGCCCTTATCTCTTGCGATTTATCACTTTGGGTGTGCTGTCGTTCTGTCGTACTCGACCGTCGACTCTTCTTCAATTCATGGTATGCAACTCGCTTGCTGCATTCTTAGCTAGTATGAGCTCAATGAGGGCTGCCGTGAACGTGACTGAGTTCTGATGTTCGGTAGCAGCAAGCTCCACTGGATTAGTCAATCCCATTCCTCCCAATCTCGGTGGTAGTGTAAGGAGTGACCCTCCTGTTGGGGTTAAATAAGGGTTTTTCACGCGTGTTTGGATAAAAGCGACCTTGATGGCTTCTTCCAGAGGGTAGAGGAGGGGTCCGATATCAGGGATAGTGCGTATCAGGTAATTCCAGCGATGCTTGACTCCATGGGTGAATGCCGCAAACGTCACACGTGGTTCCTCTTCAGCAATATCAGACAGAGCTTGAATTTCCTTCACCCACTCACTTACCTTTCCCGTTACGTACTCGGTCTTGAAATCATTCTTGCCGATTACAGCACATAGATGTCTTTGGCCGTCTTTTGTTATTTTGACGTTATTTCCGCCGAACACCTCCATTACCCATTCATAGTGTTCAGGCTTCACAATGAGGATGGACTTGCTGGCATTTCGGTGGTGCCCTATTTGTGGACCACATGATGTTACCAGGTCCCACCACTTTTTTGATGTCCTCCACTTTTCCTGCTCCTGTAAGGTCATCAGCATATGCCACTTGCTTGACGTTGGTTGTTTCATAGTTTATTGTATGTTGCATGAATTGACCCAGTGTGTACATTGCCATGGCGACAGGATCCCCCTGCGTTGTTCCCTCAGTCGACTGTATGGTGGTATCATCTCTTTGGGCCTTGAAGCTTGTTATGTTGAATACGTTGGAAGCATCAACCAGGAGTACGACCTCACAATCGCGTTGCTCAAATATCTTTCTCGATGCGTGAATGGCAGCTTCACCCCCAGCCTGGTGGCCAGCACATACTTGCAGGTTCCCTGCAGCTGCCCTGACATCATCATTTACCAGGGCTGACTGCTGTGGCTCAAACACCGCCATGCAACAAAAAGTTTGTATGAACCCAACTCATAGCATTCGAAAGCCAGAATAAAAACTTAACATGAAACATTATAACACTAACAAATTAGACCAATAATGAAACATTAATTTCGTTATAGAGTAAACCGATCTCATAGTTGCCATTCTAATGACGTTTCCGTTGCTGTTAGTGAAAATTTCCGTTGTTTATAAATTCATTGTTTATTAGAATGGTAATTTATTGGTCTTAAGCGCTTGGGTATAGAGATGGAACGATATGAAAAAACGCTTGTGATTAGTAAGTTTCCAAGTTCCTCCTGTGTCCTGTGATTGGGGATTTTAAACTCTATTGTTTGGGTAATGTAACGAGTAACTATTTTCTTTTAAATTGTTCTGGAGTAAAGGTATTATAAAACTAGAATTAAGTAGAAGTAAAAGTTCTGAAAAAATTGATTACTTCTTATAAAGTAAATACCCGAAAATTTTAATTGAGTTCATTATTCAAGTAAATATATTTCGTTACTTTACAATTCTGTTATTGACTCGTAAAATTAATATTCTAACCTGAAAAAAAGAAGAGAAGAAACTATATATAATAAAGTTAACCCATTACCCTCCCAGAGAAAACTTACTCATTTTCAATGATGGAGAAATTGTAGGGGGTAACTATGGAATACTTCAAAGATTCATCTGTTGCTATTCGATGCAACATGGGGAAAATTCGACAAAAAATGAATGCGTCTTTTGTAATTCAAACATTAGTAATGAGTCCCTACAATCTTTTTATGACTTATATTACAGCTGCACAACTTTTAAACTCATCGCACTATGGGAGTGTCTAAGTTTTCTATTGAGTAGTGTCACAGCAAACGGTAAGCACTTTGAAGGGGTAACTCGCATGTTGTCTCTTGTTTTATACGGGTTATACCAGTATCTGTGCATATATTGTTAAATCTGTATACTGTTACGCCGTCTATTAATTTACTTTAATATCCAGGTTCTAGGCGTAACCAAACAAAAAAAAGTGAAGTAAATCAAAAGGGGATAAAAATAAATAAGTAAACCTTTAAAAATTTAATTAATTTAAATATTAGCACAATAAAGAGCCTCGTAGGCTGTCACAACAAATTGATTCACTATCGAGACTTTTAAGACACAAATGATACTAAACATCGAAACATCAAAAGAACTGCTTAAACATATAGAATAAAAATAAAGCACTGGATTACGTTAACACTACATAAACATATAAAATAACTAACACTGAAATTAACTCGCGTGAAACACTGAATTACTTAAATGTAACTGAGCAAACACTGATGGACACATAAGAGACATGAATAGGTACTCACATAGATATACCACATTGGTGGCCACAGGAACAACACAGAAATAAATTTAAAGTATAAGTAACAGGTGACGGGTGTCACTCAAAAGAACGTGAACTGAATGACAAGAGGACTGGACTGCCCTCCGTCTACTGGTGACTACTATATATATGGTCGGTTGGCGCCAATGCGACCAGACGGTGAAACATGGGTCGTTTAACGATGCAGATGGTCGTTAGGGAA